GCAGACTCGCTTCCTTCTTTCTGAGTACTTATTATAGTCGAATCTTATACTTTTTCTCATATTCTCTTATTGTTATTCTCATAGACTAACGACAATCTATTAATCTCGAGGCCATGGTAATAAGTAATGGCTTTAGGGCCTAGTAGGCCCGGCCTACAATGATTGTAGTACAATCTCTGATCTATCGTGCTCATAGAAATTGCGCATAACTTGTTCCGTAGTTAAACCCAGTTTCTTGCCAGGATAGCATTGAGTTAATGAACGCAAAGTGGAAAATAGCCTTATCCAGAGATTGACAAAGCTGCACTGAGAAATGCGCTGTTCGTGCAAGTGCACGACGGATCACGGGTGATAGTTCTGTGAAAATCTGATTTAGTGACGGCATAATCCGCACCCATTGGTACTGAGATTCATTACTAGTTGTATCGATTCCCTTAGACTGTTAGTACGCTATGGTAGCTATATATCGGTTAATGGGCACGGTTTGAGTTATTAGTCCTTATGGATGGATGTGGATAGATCTCTACTGTGCTGCTATAGCATGGTTTGAGAGCTTATCACTGGTACCGTGGTAATCGCGTTTGTCGTTCTATTCACACTGATTTGAGAGTTCACCGCGTCGTGTCGCTTGCGATAAGTCTGTTGCGGTTTACTTGTCTCTAAGCAAGTCACACGCCCGTTGTACACGCGCAGTACACATAGATCTCTACGCTAATGGGTGTCCTCTCAAGTATGGTTGAAACTGAAATCCTGTGACTAGAGATTGGTCTTGAAATGTTCGAATCCACATGTTGATGCGTGCGTGTGGCGCGCGCAAAAGTATCGTCGGAGCAGTTTTACGGGAGATAGGAGATTGCTTCGATGAATCGGGTTCTGAGATCTTCGCCTATTAGTGGTACAGTAATGCATGGGCATTATATGGTCCATGATATATGCGAACTCACGCTCCGGTGTAATGAATGTCATATTTTTGTATTCAACTGGTGTTTTTGGTTGCACATGCTCCATTTACCTAGAGCATCTATCTCATGCTGGAGACTCCAGCGCTCCACCGTGGAATGTTGTGGATGGCCTGCGTTCGATACATGGCTCAAGTGCTATAACTCAATTGGTGTTGTTCAATTCATACTGATTGGGTTTGCAATGTGGAAAATGATGTATGAGGAGGTGGTAATATATGGGCAGTCATATACGACGATAATATGCTACACAAACACTTTCCATCGACATAGTGTGATACATCGTTAGTGAATATTCTCGAGAAGTTTGAGTTATACAATTCCCGTAACGGATCCCACACTTGTGCGGTTAAGTTGAACCTCATATTGCGGTTTCCGTTCGAGCCGAAGGCTCGCGAAAACCGCCTCCTCTCCCCCTCACTAAGATACCCTTTGGGGGATAGATTCGCGACTCGGTGACCGCGAGCATTCGTCATTGAAAAACTTTCTTCCACGTGCTAGCTAACGAGTTTCTCTAAAGAGGTTTAAAATAGTATATCTGATGGGGCATACCGTATGTGAATTGATCACTAATGAGCAACTGAAATTTCCCGACTGAGGCCGATTCTCTCATTTTTCTGGCAGCAGGTCTACTTGGTATTGTGGGCTGAATTATGGTGAGTGTATGGTAGGATAGGCCTGCTCAGTGCCGACTGCATGAGTTCAACGAAAGTTCAAAACTGAGACCATGAAACTCCTGTGCATGGGTGAGAATCCCTCCAGGAGCATACTAGAATACTTAATGCTTGGCAACATGCAACAACCTCATCACTAGTAGGTGAGCAACTTGTCAAGCTCTAGACTCAAATCGGTCTCAAAAACCTCGCCGGCCCTATGTTAGAGTGGAACGTAGGAATAGTCTGTATCGTATTCGGCCGAAAAGGGCTTCACATTGTGAAGGTCACAATATCTGATACGATGCTGGTTGCGATTCACACTAGCCCTTGAGAAGATATCTCATCAACAGAGCATAGCAGGCGGGCAGCAGGCCCCCCCTGTGTAGGCTCCGAGTATCATCTTCGAAGAACAACAAAATTATTTTGTGTAGTCGCCCTACACGTATTGCACTTGTAGTACAGCTCATGGCAGTGGGGTACAAATATTGTATCCTACTATCACCGCACAAACCTTACAATCGGTAGAGCCGCGTATAGCAACGGAAGTACACGGATTACATGGAAGTATCGTATCCTCTTCGATGCATTAATGAACTGAACTCGAAGACAGATTACTAGTTGAGACGTTAGAACTGCGACGGTCATGAGAAATACATTGTGCAGCACAGTGCTGAAAGTATGTCAAACCAGTATTTACGCATGTTTACTCGGCGGTGTATCTGAGATCAGGGAGTTGAATAGTGACTGCACACAGCTGATCAATGTCACTGGCACTCATAGCACATACATAGCTGAGGAAAACCTGTGATAAATGTAAGTAATTGTGGTATATAACATTCAGTGGGAACTAGGCATATTTTCCATTCAGAACATTACACAACTATGAGTGAATACATACTGAGTAGATAGGTTTGGCAAGTGGGGCCGCTATGCCGGCAATGGAATATACCATTCAAATATCTGTTTGACAAATGGGGCCGCTATGCCTGCAATGGAATATACCATTCAGATATCTGTTTGACAAATGGGGCCGCTATGCCGGCAATGGAATATACCATTCAAATATCTGTTTGACAAATGGGGCCGCTATGCCTGCCATGGAATATACCATTCAAATATCTGTTTGACAAATGGGGCCGCTATGCCTGCAATGGAATATACCATTCAGATATCTGTTTGCCAAATGGGGCCGCTATGCCTGCAATGGAATATACCATTCAAATATCTGCTTGACAAATGGGGCCGCTATGCCTGCAATGGAATATACCATTCAGATATCTGTTTGACAAATGGGGCCGCTATGCCTGCAATGGAATATACCATTCAAATATCTGTTTGACAAATGGGGCCGCTATGCCTGCAATGGAATATACCATTCAGATATCTGTTTGACAAATGGGGCCGCTATGCCTGCAATGGAATATACCATTCAAATATCTGTTTGACAAATGGGGCCGCTATGCCTGCAATGGAATATACCATTCAGATATCTGTTTGCTAAATGGGGCCGCTATGCCTGCAATGGAATATACCATTCAGATATCTGTTTGACAAATGGGGCCGCTATGCCTGCAATGGAATATACCATTCAGATATCTGTTTGCCAAATGGGGCCGCTATGCCTGCAATGGAATATACCATTCAGATATCTGTTTGACACAATTTCGCTGCAGGCTGCTACGCTTGCGCCATCGACCAGCTGAACCACAAGCTGATGGATGTTACCAAATCTGAGCTCAAAACATCCCATCAATGGCGAGAGAAACCGTCCTCGCATCGAACTCCACGCCTATGGTCGCAGTATGGGCACAGGGAAATATACCTGAAGGATCGGGATAAAAGATGTGTCTTGGCGACAGTCGCACCACCGACGAGGACGAGTGAAGAAAAGAACCCATACACAAGCACTAACAGAACTCATTCTATCCTTAGGGAATCACGAAACGCAGTCGAATGCTTTGCGACCCATCAAGATAATCATGAACATCGTCCAAGCTCATGATAGTGCGGGCAGCTTGTAATAAAATTTACAGTAACAAGGAACCAATACCGATTCACAACCAAAAACACCAACCAAAAACACCAACCAAAAATCCACCGGATAGTTTCATCCAGGATATATTATACGCTGCATATGACAGATTATCTTAGGTTGAACTCTTCACTCAAGGCATTCTTCTACTCTTTGTCTACTCTTTGTCAATCACGATCA